GTGGGTCCTTTCAGGTCAATTAACTAATCAAGATAATCTACCACAGACTTGTCCAGAGACTTTCCCAACCCAGACATTCCCTCATAGGTATGCCCAGAAGTCTATCTTCCAGTTGATTCTAGACCCTGGCAAGTGGGCAATTAACACAGACCATGACGTTAGCTCTGCTCATTCATATAAGCCAACCCATCAAGTCCCACATCAAGGATAGACACAAACTTCTTTACACAAGTAACATTGTCATATGAGAGTAAGATCCGAAAGGAGGATTGGGTGTGCTTGGGTGCTCTGATCACACCACAAAACAACACATGATTCTGATTCTTAAAACAATAATCTCAGATTACTAAGGGAGTACCAGAACAGTTTCTTCATCTAGAGAAACAAGGAGAAATTGCTGATAATCTTGCAAACAAAAAATACTCATCAATGTTTCATATAAAACATAGGTGTGCATTTAGTTACTGTACTATTGATCTCTTGACAAGCTGTTGGACATGTACAGGCCACTTGATATTACCCCTTTACCCAAGGAAAAGATGTCGAGACATGGAGAAGGGAAAATCGTTTGGCATTTTCGTTTTGCGACAGTGCTAAACTGGATTCAAGGTGAGGCCATTGCCCTTCTTGGTTTGTGTGACAGAAACACTTGAGCGAGTTGGAACCAGTCATCACTGGTTCTTTATTGGCTCTCATTTCCTCATGAGGAAAACATGGATTTATGTAGGACAGATAAGCACCCAGTTCAAGATCCTCAGCTCTCAGGGTCTTTACTGGCTAAGGTCATATGATACAATTTTGCCCATGATTTGTATGCAAATCTGTTGATCAAAGCCCTGCACAAAGCAACATGTTCCTATCAACAGAGACAAACTGATAACACACACACACACACACACACACACACACACACACACACACACACACTCATGCCTTCTGCTAAGGATACAGAAATAAAACACATGTAGGTAAAGCAGCCATCTTATGACCACAGGGTAAAAATCCCCACATTAAGGATGACAGACGGGGATGGAAGAGGAACATGAATCACTGAGGGAATTGTGGGGTCTCTGACATTTGTTGTGTCATTTCTGTCTCCAAGAGATAGACAGTTTCAGTGAGGTTTCTTGACATAAGTGCAAGTAATAGGACCCGACACACAAGGTTTTGAGAGCATTGTCTTGAAAATACGGTTACCTGGAATTCTTCTCTGGCAGTCATTCTTCCATTCCTTTTTGCTTCCTTTGAAGCTGTGATACACTTTTGCCATAATTCCTTGCACCTACTCGTCTTGTGTTTGTTTGTCAATCCCTTTGGGCCACAGTGATGTCTTCAGAGCTATACAGGGATTTCCAGAGCATCTATCGGTTCCTAATTTCCAGACAATTTATAGCCATACATAAATATGTCACCATTTACTTGATGATTCCAGAAGCCACCATAAAACTTATTTGACATCCAGTATGAAAAATGTACATGTTCAGTATACATGTATACATATGAAAACAAATTATCAGTGTAGACTGGTGGTTTAAATGAGAAACATGCCCCATAGGCTCATGCATTTGAACCCTTGGTCCTCCGTTAGTGGTACTGTTAGGGGTGTCATGGAGCCTTTAGGAGGTGGAGTTCATAGCCTCATCCCACTTCCAGTCCACTCTCTCTGTCTGCTTCATGCTTGTGGTTGAAGATGCGATCTCTCCGCCGCCTCCTTTCACTGCCTGCTTCTAAGACTCCCTTGCCATTGTGGACTGCCCCGCTGGAACTGGAAACCAAGCTAAACTTCCTGAAGTCGCTTTGGTCTTGGTGGTTTATCAACAGATAGTCACTGATATAGATGGCAATAGAACCAATCAAGGTGTGCCAAGGATGCTTGTAAGACAAGATCTGCAAGAGGGCCTTGTCTGGCACAATCTAGATTTAAACCTGCAGTTGCCATTAGCTGGCTGGTGTCATAAATGAGTCAGTCTTCTGATATCTGGACATGGGGAATTACCATGCAGGCCCACGGGGTTGGATAACACATCATAAAAAGGGAGGTCATGAATTAAGCTACCATAAAATTTTCACCATTTTTTTCTTCTTATGAAAACATCTAGACTTTTGAGGCTAAGCACTAACAGCACTGAATGTGCTACGTAGAATGGTCAGGTGGGAGACTCAGGGGGCTGAGAGCCCTAGCAAGGCAAGGGCCATTCACCCGATTCCCCAGTGTCTGTCACATTGCGGATGCTCAATCCACAGGGACTGAATTGAATGTGGGGAGAAGAGAAAAAGTTGGGACAAGGAATTCAGGCTTCAGGCCTTTCATTCTGCTCCCCTCGGCCTTTCCAGGAGAGAGAAGTGCAGCCACAGTAAGTAGAATAGGGCAGATACCGGGGTTCTGTTTTCAGAGGTGTGTGCAAAATCCTGGAAAACTCTAAACAAACCAAGAATGAGAAGTAATTCATGCATCAGCTTGAGGAGCATTGAGACAGTGAAATTATCACAAGAATGAATTAGCAACCAGTGGGAGATAGTCACTAATTGTTAAAAATGTTTATGTATCCATAAATTATGCTTAAAATGGCTTATGGGTACCCTACTTAAATGTTGCCCCCTTTTAGTTTATATGCTAATTTCTTAATCATTTCTTGAACATTTTAGTAAAAATTTCCATCTCTGTAAGAAATGTTTAATTGAATGGGAAAACATATGACGGTTATAGGTAATTATTACCAAAGGAAACTCACTATCTGGGCCATGGCCCACAATGCAGTGTCATTATTCATCCGAGATGAATTATTTTCTAGGAAGTAACTCTCCACTGTGTGAAGATTCCATTTATGAGCAGATAGTAAGCATGAGAGAGTGTGTCTCTCTTGGCCAGGTTACCAATGATGTGTGCTTACTGCTCTGTGAAAGGAGGTCAGCATGGAACTGGATCCTTTATCAGACTTTGAAGTTAGTAAGGAGTAGACACACGTGTGTAGGCACAACCAACTTAGAGTCCAGGCTTTGCAAGGTGAAGGACACAGTGACTCAGAACATGGTCTTTTGGAAACACTGGAACAAAATTCACCCACTCAAAAAAGATTAGGCCTTTGTCTGAGCTGTCCAGTTTCATTAAAAAAAAAAGCAAAACAAGACAGAGAGGGGGAAATCCCCAAAGGGTTGGTAATAAAACCCCACCTAGTATTCCATCATTTCAATGGTGATCAGGAAAAATAACAATAACATATGAGTTTCAACTGACTTTGAAGACTTGACCAATTGAGAATTTATTTTCCTTGCATTGGAGTGCCTGGGCATTTCTACAACATGGGTATTTCTAAGAAACAATGAGCAAGATTCATTTCTTACATGAAAATTAATAAACTGGAACACTGGAGAACACATTCTTGCCTTATACTTCAGAGGGACTTAAGATAGGAGGCAGTCATCAAACCACGCTGGAGGTCCCAACCCCACCTACCTGAACAACAAATCCTTGCCAGGAAGGTGGCATGCATCATGGGTGTGCCCCAGCCTGAGAATCAGAAAGCTTCAATTGTCTCTACCTGTGTCTGTGCTGCTGGGATTCTGCCTGCCCAAGATCTGACTGGACACGGGATGCTGCATCCCATAGTAGGTGAAGCAGCCTTGGTGTGGCCAGACCCTGGCCTGCTCTTAGGGCAGCTTAGATTCTACCTGTACATGGCCATGCCCTCCACTAGTTCACCCCCTGGAGGATGCATATTAGATTTTCTTCCTCTGACAGAGCACAAAGGCTCTCTCGTAGGCCATCTGTACACTTCTGTTCATCACCTCATCAACATGTGGACATGGCCTTTTCCCATGGTCGCTTCCTTGATGTGATTTTGGATCCTGTCTGAGATGTCTTAACTTTCTCTCCACCATCTTCATTTTACCTCATGATTTTTCTACAGAGTTTCTGCTCTTCTTGGCTTGCCTATGATCCTTGGGCTCCTGAATCTCTAAACTGGTTTTAGTACCTGCATTCATCATCCTTCTCATATCACACTAATTTTCTCGAAATGCTGTTGCTGACTCCCTTTTCAGTGCCTCCCAAGAGGTTGGAGGTGGAGAGAGATCACTCGTCCACAAGCAGGGAGATCTGGAGGGTGGTGTTAGCCTCCGAGCCAGACAGGGCGTCACTTAACTTTGCTAATTCTCTGTTTACTCTGAGGTTCCTCCTGGCTCAGAATTTCAGGATTCTAGAGTTTCTCTGTACTTATAGAGAGGGATTAGGAAAATTTACAGTGTGATTATTGCACCAGGAAAAAGCCAACCCTAACAAATGAGCCAGTCAATTAACAACAAGAAGAAACAGGTTTATTTGATGGCAGGCAACAAAAAATACAGGATTTGGGCTCAGAGAGGCACAGTGGCCCTTCTGACCCAGGAGCAAGCCAGTGGTTTATTGGATTGGTTAAAGCTGGTCCGTCTGGTTAAATAGATTCAATTGCACTTTGACAGGAACTCTTCATTGCTTTCTCAGCGCAGTACTGGGTTTTAAAGATCTGTTTCTCAGATGTCTAGAATGTTTCCATTCCATCATAATGGAAAATAATCGTGACCTTTCTTTTAAACAAAAAATCACTGCGGTGCAGATACAGGAAGCGAACAAAAATAACACACTGTTTTGCATGGCTGATGTGTTGCATTTGAGGCATAAAACACTGCCCACTATAAACATACGAAAGCCGAGTCAGTTCTGTTGGGCCGCGGCTATGATCGATTGCAAGCTAGGGGTTGTAAAGCAAGTACCATTCCGGAACCATGGTTTATCAACAGTTTTATTTTCCCAAGACAACTTTCTCCTAGCAAGCTGGGAAAGTGCAACGCTCAACTGGAGGAGGACGGCATGATTTCTTTCAAAGCATTGGCTCTCACAAAAGTTACTTTCATAGACTCCTACACAAAATGTATTTGGGCCTGGCAGAAACATATGCTCATCCCAACCTGCAAAATGTTATTTTGATTAAAGGGGGAAAAAGAGCCCACAAAAATTCTGGACTGTCTAGCTTACCTTGGTGGGTGGCTTTACTGGAGAAGGGGATTTGTGGGGTGGGAAGCTAATTTTGCCTCCTAGTCTTTCCTAAACGGGCTATTAAAAGTGTTTAATAACCTCATCTTTTCAAGGCCCATTGTTTTTGCAGTGATGTAGAGAAAGGAGGGCTTCTGAAGGGCCATTCCCCACCTCCCAGAGACGTTTGCCTCTTGGGCCTCTTAGCGACCTCTCCCTCTTCTGTCCTGAAAACAAATGCCCAATTTATCCAGAATCTGGACCCCAAGCGGACACGGAAGGCCCGGCCCTGCAGGGACCTTTGGATCACCCACCACCCTGTGTAGCCGCCCTGAAGGTGTGGGATGGGGTTTGGAGGAGCTCGGAGGGGCGCCGGGGGCTTCATTGGGGCAGCAGCGAAGTGGTTAAGCGGCAGCCGGCGGGCGCGGGCGGGCGGGCGGGCGGGCGAGCGGGCAGGGCGGAGGCGCGGAGGAGCTGCGCCCGCGGCAGCCCCAGCGGCAGCTGCGGCGAGAGGAGCGGGGAGCTGGCGGCCGCGCCCAGAGACCCGCAGAGAAAGGGCAGCGCCGCCGCCGGCTGCCGGCCTCGGCGCGGTTAATCACGCGCTCCCCTCTCGCTGCTGATTTGCGAGAGCAGATTAATCAGAGAGCGCGGCTTGATGAAATTTGCTGTTATTGTGCCCATTTTTAGCAACATCTTTTATTATCTTCATTATTCATTTACAGGGGACCGGCATCAATTATGCAAATGAGTTCACAGACTTTGCCGATTACTTCATTTGCCGCTATTGTTTGTGGAAATTTAATTATTAAATATTATTAAGCTTGCGTTTTCTTCAATTTTCCAAGGCTTAGTTTCATTTGATTTTTCCTCCAGCTGCTCGTCGCTCCTTTCGGTGCCAAAACAGTTCCTCATCAAAGCGGCTCTGGCATGTGAAGACCAAATAAAATCTCCTCAATTTAATAATTTTGATGTTAGTCCCTTGTTCTCAGCTGCTTGCTCAAAGCGATGCAGAGAGGAACGCAGAGCACATTCAGTTTAATGAGCAGAAATTGAATTCAAGTTTGTTCGGAATTGACTTCAATTAAGCAGAGTCTTAATGATAAATTAATCTCTTTTCTTTATTCCCTAGAATTTGTTTTTCAAAGTAGGAAATTGGACTACATTGAAAGACCAAATAAAGAATACCAATTTTAACTAGATCACGGAGCTGATAGCAAAATTTAATTCTTTATAGTAAGGTGCTTGGACAAATAGCATTCTTTCTGTGGCGTGTATTATAATTTATATTCATTGTTACCACTTACACATCCGTGGCATGGATAAAATGGCAGTTGAATTAAATATAGGCTTGTAATAGACTTCAGAGTTTTAATCTTTATTAAGAAACTCTAATTGAATGCATAATTAGCTTTTCAGGCATTGGGAAATTTGGTTTAATATCTGGGTGAACTGAAAGCATTGATCAGGAATTTTAAGGCAATTCTTTCGAGTGAATTTTTTTTTGAAGAGAAATGATCAGGCCATATTTAAAACGGCATTTTAAAACTGAATGGCAAGAAGTGGAGGGGCAAGGAGAGAGGTTCATCCTGTGTTGTTAGGGACAGGCCGCCAGGGCTTCCTTGGAACCAGAGCCAATGCTGGCAATTTCAAGTTCCTTTTATTAAAATCTCTAATGTTCCTTCAGGCCACCAAATCCATTATCCCTGTGCAGTACCCCCTGAACATCAAACTCACAGGCTTGGGGATTTTAATGAGGACATCCATATTGATTGTTTTTTTTTACACTTGTTTGGGTTCACTGCCACTGTCAAAAATGTACCTGACTCTTTTTTTTTCCAACCTGAATCATGGATCATCTTTTTTTTTTTTTTTTGAACATGTGGAGAATAATTCTCCATGCTCCAGCCCGCAAAGTGCTCTATCTACATATGCCAAATGCTATTATTGCAGCTCCTTCAGGAGTGACCTTAAGAGAGGGGTTGTTGGTTCCAAAGAACTTCAAGCTGTTCACTGTGGTCTATTCATGTTCACACATTTAAAATACACCAGCGATGGGAAATACATTCAGGCTGTGTACTGTGTCACAGAGCCCACAGGTTCCCTCTCCCTGCCTCCTGCTCCTTCCAAACATTCATTTTATTACTCTCAGGCACTCAGATACAGTGCGTGCAAATTCGACTTGGGTGTGAATTTTAAATGGCATGTGACAGGGTTCTCTGCGTTGTGTGACAGTACCATGCTGTTACTTCCAATGCTGTCCAGACTCTACCTGCCCTATGTAAGAATTAAAGATTTATATAATAATAGAATTTTAAAACGGAGAGGCCTCTTAAAAAATCACCTAGCCCATCGCCTATGTTTTATAGATGAGGAAACTGAGTCCCATAAATGTTATACAATTTTTCCCAAGGCCACAGATTCAGCTAGAGGCAGGGTCAGAACAAAAATTTGCAGAAAGGTTAACTTCTAGACCAAAGACTCCACATACACTTTTCAACGCTGCTTATAAGTTGTATAGTGACAGCTTTGAGTAAATGGAAACTAGCTTTAAAAGGACAGGAATTAATTTATTGTCTTGTTCAAACTGGGAAATATATTGATTAAAGTGCATAAAAGCACACACAAATGCAGTAAGCTTATTTATCTGGGACTTAGACAGTTGGGGAGCCTAAATAATGGGGTTGTTTTGTGCTGTGCTTTAGTGAGAGAGAAACAAATGAAAAGTTAATAGGCTAGTATGAGGTTTTTGTTTTTGTTTTTTAAGCAAAGGGAAAAAATGTGGCACTGTAGGCTCTATATGTACTGAGTCCTGTGTTTTAGAGTAGGGTTTGGCAACATTTTAGGTATAGTCTACCCAAAAATTTTAATTCCATCTCTTATGAAATGGTGGTACCCCAGCCATCCCTCATTGGGTTGCAATCATTTATTTTGTTCAGCCTGACTACTGGGCAGTTCGCCAGATTTAGAAAATGGGAGAATGATAAGTCTAGGAAGGGGGTCACAATCAAACGAGTTGTGAGACGAGAAAGGAGTGAATAATTATTAGTGTGAGTGCGGGGCAGAGACCAGGCTGCTATGGTAGAGAGCTGTGCCTGTGGACAAGCTCTCCTGCTGATGTGCTGTTTGATGGGCAGACACAGGGAGGTTTTACAAGGTGGAGAGAAAGCAGGAGCATGGTAAGGCACTGCAAGGTAGAATGAGCTTGGCTGATGATTTGAGGAGGAGTTCTAGGGAGCTGAACTGCAAAACCAGGCTTGGGACCATTTTTGTACAAGGTTAAGGGTGGCATTTACCTTTGTTATCTAGGGTTGGGGCAGATGTTTAAGCAACTCTAACAATCATGCAGATATTCCTGGGATGGTTTGCTCATCTTCATTTCTTGTTAACTAGTATCTTAGAACTTCAAAGGTGTATAGTTACAGTGTATCAACGGTGTATAGTTACAGTGTAAATCAAGCTAGAGGGACTTGGAAGATAGCCAGGGAACAGCTATAGGAATAGGAAATAGGAATAGAATAGGAAGTGAGAAGAGGAAAGAGGAAACACCAGGCACTGGTGAGGGTAGGAGGCAGGTACATGTGATGTATGTCTCATTTACGCTTGCCTATGGTCCAAGGTTGTTCTCTTCCGTCAACTCCACACCCTGGGCTGTTGGAAATCACCTCTGTGTCTTCTGTTCTCACAGAATGGCTAGAATCTCACAACTTCTGCCATGGCAATACTGTAGAGTGAGCATTAGTGCTATGGATGTTTGTAAGGGTGGTTCAGAGAATTCAGAACCTCACTAAGTCAAGGCAGATAAAAATCTCAGGTTACATTGTGTTAGAGGATTGTACCAAACTTAGGTGAGTCTGTTTTGGATTTCTGGGAAACAGAATAACTCAGTTAACTATATATACCACAGCATCACAGTGGACTGAATTTCCTCTTGATTTCAAACCAATCAGCTGCCGAGTCCAACCCCTTATTTGATGACTTATAAAACTGCTTTTGATTTTCTGTGCCATAAAAGTAACATGAATATAAAAATAGCATGAAAAAGCATTTCAGATAAAAACCAATAATAGTTTCTTTTAAATTTAGGATTTAAAATTCAGGCCAAATTACATAACTCCAATGATGAAAATGGAGAAAGTCCAAGGGATCCAAACAAGCATTGCAATATAAATGATGATGCTGTAGACAGAACATTCTGTTTACTGCTCACAGCCCACAGTTCAGAGAGACACTGAGTTAAGGATGGCTCAAACTTAAGCTGCAGGTGAAAGCTGGATCTTCCCTTCCACACCTGTCACCTTAAGCTGAGTGAAAACATGAGTTCAGAAGGTTTCGACGTCTGCGTGAAGAGTGTCTGCTGCTGAGGTTATTCACCTTTGAGATGGTCCGTCAATCAGGTGCAGTGTCAGGGGCTCAGCAGATGGATGTTCGAGGACACAGAAGACACATTCCCTCACTGTCTCTCTCTTCAGAAATTCAACCATTGTCTTACCAGGCTTGACCAGTATACATTTTCTGCTTCATTTAGCAACTTAATAAACCCAAACCAGCCTACTGGGTCTGCTTGCCCTTGTGTTTGTATCCCTTGGAAGTTCATTTTGGATCAACTGTTCCTCCTCCTCTGCCTTGTCAATCCAGTTCATCTCTCTCTGCATGTGATGATGTTGCTGCTTCGACATTTGGAGTAAGATTACTTTCATAAACCCAGCGTTCCAAACTCTGTTGGCAGATGTGTAGGCCACAGACACTAATTCTTTCTATGTAGAGCACTGTACAAGGGGTCTTGGGGGCTATGGAGGTGATCAGGGTGCTTGTTCTACCCTAAGGTAGTTCACAGATGAAGTTATCAAGGTGACAGAGAAGTAAGGCTAATCACTGGAGTAAGTATTATGATAGAGGAAGAAACAGGGCCCTAAGCAAAGAGGCCTAAAGCTCTACTTAAGCAGGTGGGAGGCAATGTGGACGTTACAAAATCAGTTGGAATTTTCAAGGCCCAGAATGAAGTGATGGGGTTAGGGTAGGGGAACACAGGAACCTCTTCTTCAGAGTGGGAGCCACCTGCTTCTGTGTGACCTCATGGGTGAGATTCTGCCCTGGCCTTGCTGAGCCAAGTGGGCTGCCTTCATGAAGCTCGGTCTATGAGATATATGGTATCTACTGCACACAGCCAGGGCTGGGCCAGGGAAGGGGGCAGCTGGGTGTGTGTGTGTGTGGGGGGCTGCCTTCATGAAGCTCGGTCTATGAGCTATATGGTATCTACTGCACATAGCCAGGGCCGGGCCAGGGAGGTGTGTGTGTGTGTGTGTGTGTGTGTGTGTGTGTGTGTGTGTGTGTGTGTCTGTCAGTGTAGCATCATTGCACTTTTTACCCAGTGTGCTCAGATATAAGAAGGAAAGAATTTGACCTCTAAGTGCTGTCTGCCTTCTATAATTTCTCCTCCCAGTGGGCCCAGAAGGAGCCCGAGTCTCCCGTGAAATCAACACAGAGGCAGACGTCAGGATGAAAGCTCGGGATGGAGCTTGCCCCTCCCCACCCCTGTGTGTGTGAGTGTGCGTATCTATGTGTGCACATGCCTTTAGGTTTGCTCTGTCCTGATTTTCCTACAAAACAACCATAAGGAAAAAATTTGAGAGAGGAAAGGAAGACTTTCTCTTCTCTCTGTAACCTTTCCACCAACCTATTGTTTACATATTTAAAGATTCTGGCAATTATTAAGAACACAATACATTTATGATGAACACATGTTTAAAAGACAAATCAAGCAAAAGGAAAGTGAAAGAAAGACCTGATTTGTAGAGGTTCTTAAAACTTCGGCATTTTTGTTGATTTTGATTGGAGCATGAATTTAATTCTGCTCTCTCCTATCAGTGGCTAATGGTGTTCAAATAAGCAGGGATATCATACATAAGAAAATAAAAATTACCCTAACTTCATTTCCTTTTGGCCATGGAAAGAGTGTTGTACAAAAGCTAATTCTGATTAAGTAAATAACACCAGGGAACCCGAATGTACTTACAGTAGACTCCCACACAAAACCAAGACAGACTTGTAAAGAAGAGAAGGTGAGCTATGTGTGGAAGTGCGTACCTCTGATCCCAGCACTCATGGGGTTGAGGTAGGTGGATCGTTAAAAGTCTGAGGCCAGCCTTGACTGTATAGTGAGTCCTAGGCCAGCCTGAGCTACACAGTGAGACCCCATGTCAAAACAACAACAATAAGGGCAGAGAGAAGAAAGGAAATAGAATGAGCTTGAGAATGGGATCCAAAAGCAGGAGGAAGAAGAGGAGAGAGAGAGAAGCAGGGGAGAGAGGGCCCAGCTCAAGGGACCACAAGGAAAGGCCAGCTCAGGGTCCAAGGCCCATCCATCCTCAGGGATCACTTCTGCAGCAGGTCTCACAGTGCTGATACCACATCCTAGTTCCTCATTAACTACTGTTTATAGCTGTCTAAACACTGCTTTGGACTTCCAAGGCCTTGGTTCCTAATAGATAGATAATCATAGTAGCCCATCACAGGAAATAATTATTCACAGGGAACGTTATCTCCAACGTGGATCTGGCTTTAAGAACTAAGAGGTTTATAGAAATTGCCCCATTCAGTAGGGTGATTTGATTTTTTCTCTCTCACATCTCGCGGTGCCTCTGAGTAGCTAAACAAGCCCCTTTCCTCCACAAGGTTGCTCTTTAGACATCATCCATGTTGCTCAGTGAGGACTAACCCAGGGGAAACTGCTCCCAAGTCACAAGGGCAAGCTTTCCCGGATTCCAGCATAGAACACCCACAGGAAGAGAGGTGGGGGTGGGTGCCCTGCAGAAGAGGTACCTAGGGCAGGTTATCAGATTTTAGTTTTTAATATTGTTATCGTGGGGGCTCGGAGGATAGCTCAGTATGTTCCACTTGCCGTGCAGGCCTGAGGACCAAAGCTCAGTCTCTAGCACCCACGGGGAAGCCGGACATGGTGGCAGGTGCTTATAATCTCAGTGTTGGGGGGCAGACCCAGAGAGATTCCGGAGGCTTGCTGGCCAGCTGGTCTAGCTTAATTGGTGAGCTTGTGACTGATGAAGTCAAGAATCAAGGGGCACAGCTTGAGGAATGACACCCAGAGTTGACCTCCGGCCTCCACATGACCATGCTTGCATGTGAGCACCCACCTCCACCCCAACACACCCAGAGAAAGCAAGCTAAAGTAGGAGCCAGGGGTGGAAATGCAATGTCTAAGCGTTTTGTTAGAGTTTATGAAATTTCAGGAGCCGTGGAGGCTTCAGTGCGGCTTTGAAATGGAGAATGAAAACGTGGGGAGTTTCCCGTTTGCTCTGCTCCTTTTCAGTTCCAAGAACGGCTTTCTGCATGGGGGACCTTTTCCCACCACAGGCTGCCGTCCTGTTTCAGTCGGCTTTTGAATGTCCATAACCGAAGATGTTTACTGTCCTTCTGTGGAACGAGAAGAAAAGAAAGGGACAGAAGAAGGAATTCTTGTGTTTATTTTTTAGGTGGTGGTGGTGGGGTTTGTCAATACCTTTATTTTTTAAAAGTCGTCGGTCTTATTTAGCACTGTCCTTCATAATACAAACTGTAAACAAGGCAGAGAGCCAGCGCTGAAAGTAATTTCAATTAAAAATTCCCCGGGCTTTTCAGGGGCGACAGAGGAGGCAGCCTCAACACGTTGTCCTTGGGCCTGCGCAGCTTACCTGGAAAGCTTCAAAGGGGGACAAGGAATTTTAGTGTCACCTACCCCCACTCCCACCCCTGACTGTCCCAAGCTATAAACAAGCAATGGCTGCCCTCTCCACAGAAAAGGAGGCTTGGTGATCATTTGTCTGGAAAAGCTGGTAATGGACTATTAAATAGTTGTTTGTGAAATCATTGCACACGACCATGTTTACTTGTCTCTGCAGAAGTATTGCTGTTTACCCAGTTCTGGATAAAGAGCAGATCGTTTGACAAGGCCCCAGAGTAAATAGCATCTCTCCCAATATTCCCCTTCTGTGTCTGGTCCAGGTCTCTGCCTCTTCTGCTGTTATGGAATGAGACAGAGGGGGTGGGGGCGGGCAAGAGTGGATGGATATGGTGCAATAATGATTGGCATAGCCAAGGTACACTGCTGTGTTCCAAGGTATCGCCCACAGCCTCTTGCTATGGGATTTAGAAATCACACAATGATTGTATTCCAGTTTATGCTACAGCTGCTGATAAACTCAGGGGTTGCTTAGAAGGGGTGACATGGGACTGACATCTATCAACGGCTTGTTAAATAATACTGAGCACGTCCTGAGTACTTAGTTATATACCAGGCACTGAACATGAGGCCTGAGCCTTCTTATCTTGTAGAAGTGGCAGGGGATAGTGCTATTATCATCAGGTTACAAGCGGCAGAGAAAGACATGTGAATTTCAGCTGTGTACTAACTCATACACTCGGTAAGAAGGGAAAGTGTCATTTGAATCTAGATTCTCCAGCCATCCAGTTCATGTGTTCATCAGAATTGTTTCTATGGGGATTTGGATCTACAGAAAAATGAGTGCAGGACCCTCAACCTGGCTGTGGGGCTGGAGGGGTGCTGTCCAACAAAGGAGTCTGGATACAGCAGTGTGCACAGGGGCAGGCTCAATAGAGGGAAGATGGATATAATAAGCTCCTATCAACTGCTAGGAGTTATTCTGGGAGGGCTAATGCAAATTAATTCGCAAAAGGCAGAGCCAAGGAAGTCGAGATAATTTCACAGATGCGTGTAGGGCTAATCTCCTAGGATCATTAGATGTCACCTTTATCCTGAAATTGCGGTGCCTCTGCCCTCTGTGCTGTCAACTGCACGGCTTGTGTGTCATTCTGTGTCCATGGGGCCTTGTGCTAGGCACGGACCTTTTAACTGCCTTTGGTAGCAGAAGAAACTGAGGAGCACAGGCTGATGGCTAAGTGGACACCAGCTCCTCTGTTTGCTCCGAGTACAGTGATCTTTCCAGCCCGCTCCAAGCAGCTTCCTGCGCATTGCCTCAGAATGCCTTCCAGGCCACACTTTCCTCCTCATAGGGATCCCCGTTCGTGTCTCCTCTTTTGCCTCACTGTAGCCTCTTCCGTTTCTAGGGAACGGTACATGTTATACTCCTACTGCTCCCAGTTCAGTCTGATTTGGGGTTCTGTAATTCATTGTTATGTGGAGAGCGCCTTCAGTGAAACACAACAAGCTGCAGAATATAATTCTCCCTTAATGTATATTTACTAAGTGTATTTATTATTCATCAGGATGTGCATTTTAAAATGTGAGTCTAGATTCCCTCACTTTTAATCCCAAACAAATGTTAAAAGATTTATTTTTATAATAATCCTGGAACGAGAGCTAAGTAAGCCTCCCCGAACGCAGCTTGCCAAGTGGTGAATGTTAGTACTATATATCCATGCTGGATGCTCAGTCTGCGGTTGCCTGTCGTCCCTTACTGTTCTACTGTTGATGTACAGAAACGCACAAGCACACCAGGGCTCGTCAGTGGTTGCAATTTGTTGGCACTGACTCTGGGGAAGGAATACTGCAAGGGAAAACATTAAAGTCCCAGTTCTTTGCAAG